TTAAACTAATAATTTCAATTTTGTCAAACACTTCATGATTGGCCACGGCGGCTGTCTCAGAGAACTTATATTTTTTTGTTCAACTTGCTGCTACATCACAAGAAAGATGTGTGCTATGTTTATGGAATTTTGATATTTTTTTTCTAATGTGTTTGAAACAATAGCAGGGAGTTAATAGTAAAGGTCAAGCATGAGGAGCATCAGGAGGGCGCATGGAGTATTAAACACAAATCATTCGGGAGGTCATGGTCCCCCTTGCGCACGCCACTGTCTGAATACACTGGAAATCTATTTGAAGAGTTGATAAATTTCACCTCATATCTATTTCAAATTTGAGGTTTAAAAATATCCTACAAATTATCAAAACTTGCCTATTTTACTTTATAAGTATTACACTGGCGTGCACAGGGTGGGGCAAGGTGGGGCAATTGCCCCACCTTTTATAAATAAGATTTTTATTTTCCACATTTTCAAAGCTATGATAAAAAATATCTAGAGTTCTTGATCACTTGGTTTGAAGGTATAATTGAAACCCTTTTATTGCGTCAATTCCTTTGAGATGGTGCCTGAAAATTGCACCACAAAGGTGCATGAATTGACAAACTTCAATGAAATTTTTTGGTCAAAAAATTGCACCACATTGGTGAATACAAAAAAATTCTGGTGTATTTTTTTTCAAGATTGTTCATGGAGGGTTAAAAGAAAAGGATAAATTTAAGGTTAAAAAAATTCACCATCGTGCTGGTAAATCGAAGAAAAAGCTTTTTTATTGAATATTTCTAGTTCTAGTTCTAAAATTGAATTGCGCTAAAAATTTGGAAGTGCACATATACCTGAAAATTTCTGGTGGAAAGTTCGCAATACTATGGTGAATGCAAAAGCAAGGTTTCTTAATTTTTCTGGTGCATAATTTGCATCGTTCTGATGAATTTAAGCTTCATTGAAAATTAATGGTGGAAAATTTGCACCATTCTGCATGAAGAGGCAAAGCCTGAAAATTGCATAAAGGTGCATGGTGAAAAAAACTTCACTGACAATTTTTGGTGCACCGTTCTGGTGAATGGAGGAGCATGTTCCATTGAAAATTTCTGTTGTGAAATTTGCATCACTTTGATAAATGAAATGAACAGAAAATTTCTGGTGGAAAACTTGCACTAGTCTAGTAAATGAAGGCACAAGCTTTATTTAAAATTAAGCTTAATTTTAAACTTCTGGGGGAAAATCTGCACCATTATGGTGAACGGATGGGCAAGCTTTTCGGAAAGTTTTAGGTCTTAAATTTACTGAATAGAGAAACAAATTTTAATAATAATTTCTGGAGTACAATTTGCACCATTCTGATGATTTAAGGGAAACTGCTTTACTGAAAATTTATGGTGAAAAATGTGAAAATAGGGGCAAGCTTTATTTGAAAATATCTGGTGGAAAATGGAAAAAGGAAATCGGCACCAATCAGAAGATTGGAGAAGCAATTTTAATTGAACACTAACGGTGGAAAATTTGCATCGTTCTGGTCAATTCAAATTTTCTGGTGTTAAATTTTCTGGAGACAAGTTTGTATTGAAAATTTCTGGTGTATGATTTACAACATTCTGCTGCATGGAGGGGGCAAGCTGAATTGAGAATTCCTGATCTAAAAATTGCACAGTTCTGGTGAATGGAGGGGCAAGTTTTATTGAACATTTCTGGTAGAAAAACTACAACGTTTTGGTGAATGGACAGACAAATTAAACTTGATTTTCAAGAAGAACGTAAAGGGGTTTGAATTTCAAAAGAAAATATTTCTGGAAATGATTTCATGAAAATTCTGCGAATAATTTCTGGTGAATCCTGCAAATAGTTCCAAGAATACCGAGATAATTAAATTTTGAATGAAATTCCAAAAGAATGTAAGGAAAATTTTAAGGGAATTCCGAGGATAATTGCAAGCTAATTCTGGGATGAATTTTTGTAGAATACAGAGGAAATTCTTCTGAAACTCCAAGGGAATTTTAGTTCCAAGGTGTTCTGAGTAAAAGTCAAGAAGAGTTCTAAAATTAATTCCAGAGGACTTCTGAGAAGAATTTCAAAAAAGCTCATAGAGTTCTAAAAATTTCGAAAAGAACCTCAAGGAATTCTGAGGATGGACTTTTTTGCAACTGTACAAAGTCTAAGGCTTTTGGATTCCCTAATTGAAAAGTGGGTATTAGTTTGCCATTGAACTTTGGTATATTGTTGTGTTACTAAAAATTCGTCTAAGAATCTTCTCTAAAATTTTAAAGTAATTTGTTACCGTGGTTAAAAAGTTACTGCTGTTTATGTGCGTTGCAATAAATTCGGGTTTGTCCTTTATATCATCTTTAAAACATGTTGAATGTTCGGCATTATTTTCTGTCACCCCGACTGGCAGTACTTTGGGACAGGGTTGACATGCTCAATCCTTCGCACAAGTCGTCATTCCGTTAACAATCATGTATTCGCTTGTCAAAATAGTTTTGTGCGTGTTTGTTCCAGTCGTTACATATTTGTTAAACCTCTTTTATAATCGTATTTAGGTCAAAATTTGAAAAAAAATAGAAGTACAATTTTCGCTGAAAATGACCAAGTTCAATGTACTCGCAACGGTAATAGTTAAGTGTAACTACAACAGCATATAAGGGCTTACAAAACCTTGAAATAATCAAAAAATAAACTGCAACGATACCTTCAAAATATACAAAAACGTTCTGCACAAAATTTCAGAAAGGTAACTGCATAAAAGATGATACCAGTACCTTGAAGAATTTATTTTCTTTGGTTTATATGTTTAACCTGTAAAGAAGAGCATGCCGCAAAACATTATTACAACGATTCCTACAGGGTTCAGATATTGGAAGAAAGCGACCGAGATGCTGGGCAAACACAATCGCAGTGATACCCATTGTTGGTAGTATGGACGCGTGGAAGAATTTCAAAATCAGGAAGGGTATCGATGAAGAACTGGACCACCAAAAAAAGAGGTATGATTGCTGCTAGTAAGGCAAAGCGGCTACAAAATCGCTATATAATGGAACGTTTCATCGATATTATGCGCACACTTTGCAAAGGTGGCCGACCACATCGTGAACATTCGGAAGGAGCGGAAAGTGTGCCACCCAGTTGGTGGCTAACTACGATCCTGTGCTGGAAAAACACGATGATACGAGCGATTGTGGGCACCACGAGCAGTTGGCGATTGTCATCAGGTATATTGATAATGATCGGCCGACGGAAACATTCGTGGGTGTGAGACGGGTGTTGAAAACAGACGCGACGACGATCTTCAATACTATTGCTGAGGTCCTGACAGCGATGCAGATTTCTTGGGTGCAGGTGTTGGCAGTATATTTTGACGGTGCCAGCCCAATGGCTGGCAGCACTGCTGGAGTACAAGCCAAGTGCAAGGACGAAAACAGCAATATACTTTTATGAAGAACTTTGAGTGTGTTGGTTTATTTTCTTTTGACAGATACGCGTATTTCGTCTACTACTTGCAGACTTCATCAGTGCCAAGTAGTTAACACCACTGATCAAGATTGGATTGATGAAGAGCAATATACTGTATTCACTGCTATGCGCACTGTTTGAACCTTGTACTTGTCGACGCAGTGTGCATGCGAAAGGAGAATGCGATTCTTATTGGTCATTCATATCGGTTTGTAGCACCTATCACCACCATCTGATGTGACTTCAGCTGAATCCAACCACCAAGGCAACAACATTGCAGCAAATGTATCATTTCGGTTAAAGCCCTACTATTGCAACCATTTGACGAACTGATCATCATCGACATGGGATTAAATTGTCAATTCCATTGGCTGTCTGAAAGCAGTATCCATTGAAGAAGATGAACCACCACCGGAGTAAAAAATAAAAAAAAATTAGCTAAATTGAACAGTAAGGAAACAGTGGTGGGTGGACATCACCATCTCCCACGCACTTTGGAGTACTCACCATCCCCAGATTAAATGCACCATAGAAAAAACAATTGCTCTCCTTCACAAGATTCCTGTGCACGCTAGTGTAAGTAAGGATAACAGAGTTTGTGCAACAAATGGTAAAAATTGATAAAGTTTAGAAGTCTCGTAATTGGTTTGAAGTGTGTGTGTGTAGATTTCGACAAAATACTATGGGAAATTATTGAAAATCACGTACATCGCTCTAGTGGGCTCTGGTTCTAGTAACCGAAACGACAAATCATTAATATGCGGTTGCCATGACAACGATTATCAATCCGGTTTCTCTTGTAATGATTAATTACAACAATAAACGTTGTTTTCCCTATATTTTTATTTTTTTCACTTTGCTTTCTTCCATGAATTGCTGCCAAGCTAAACCGTAACAGCCACAAGCTTGTTGGTCATTGTACCAAATATGTTTATTTTTCTGCATTTGGACAACTAGAACCAAAGTGTTAGCGATATAAGTGAAATTTAAAATTCTGCAATAGTAATTCCTATACGAAATTTCAAACCATTTGCGTAACTTCTAAACAATTATCAATCCATTTTTAGCACAGACGTTTTGTGGTTATAAATCAAACTGGAGAACGTCCTTTAAGAAATCTATCACTTTTTTTCAAAATTATGCACCATATTAACCTTATAATGCAATTCATGGCAAAGAATCTGATAATGCCTCTATTCATCAGATCATTCAACATATTATGTATCATCTCTGTTTCGTTGAACCTTGCTGTTATTCACTTTCCCATTCGCAAAAAATACTACGCCAACCTGAAATGATCCAGTATGAGTTGAAATAGTCATCTTTTTCTCACGTTTGTAATTTATGACCCTCAACTACATTTTACACGATGTTAACGAAACTGGCATTCCTGGCCAATAATCTGCTTTGCTTTCATTGCGACGTAAAATTATCGTTTAACGAGTCTTTTATCGCCCACAAAAGTCACCCCAACCGACAGCTCACATGGTTCACATTTTTGCCACATTCTAATTAAACCAAATCATAAAACATGGTTAATCTGTTGTCATAATTACCTCCCCGGGCATCCGGAATCTCGTTATCCTCCTCATCTGCTTCGTTTGCCTCCCGGGTATATTTGGTGAAATCCACTCGATTCTTGGTAAAAATCACCCGATTGCTCACGTTGAAATCTCCCACCTCCAACGATTCACCGAGGAAATTGTACACGTTCTTCTGAATGCAGGCAAACGTCGGCTTCTTGATGCACTCGGCAATCAGTGCATCCCAGAGGCGATTTCCGGTCGAAAACATGGGCTTTCTGCTACGGGCCGTACTGGTAGTGGTCGTCACGGGATGCTCGGAGCTCGTTGAAATGGTCAGGTTGCTAATTTCCACACTTAGCCTATCACTATCACTATCGATTGTCTGATTATGGTAGTTGGTGGACTCGATGTCGGCCGTTGTCGTGCTCTCTTCGGTGGCAACCACGAAACTTGTGAACGCACTTAAACATATAATCACCGCCAACCACCGTCGTTGTCGCGATGAAGATCCATTTGCCCCACTGACCATCTTTCTCCGAGGTCCGTTTTTGTCGCTTTGATGGCAGTGATGATCCCCGACCAGTCTCGCCTCCATGTCCGCTGAACTTGATTGCATATTTCTTCCTAAGTGTACTGTTGTTGCACGCACCGACGGCCTGGTTTTACTCGCTTTTCCTTTCGATTATTAGAACTGCGTTCACTGAGCACATACACATACACACTCACTTTCTTCGATTAATTTCCACTCTCACTTGTCACGGAACGTGTGTCACTTTCGAAAGCCCTTTGGAAAACAAATCGAGTTGGGACTAATTGAGTCATTTGCTCCCGCGTAATTCGAAACTGAAAACTTAAACGATTTCCGCTTCGACCATCGGCATCGGAAGAAGGTGGTCCATGTCGAGTCGCGTTTGTTGATGATGTCGATCTGCAAGCAAAGGGAAAACAAATATTACGTTTCGGTGAACTGAAATTTGTCCGGAAAGCTTTTCCGTCCCAAAACGGACTGACCAGCTTTGTTGAAGTGCAGGCAGTGAGTGAGTGAGCGGGTCTTTGTTGAAAGTAAGTGGTGAGCAATTGCTGAAACCGATAAAACAAAAAAAAAATACGAAATGAATTGGTTGGTCGGCTGCGGTTGATGCAATCCGAGACTACCGGTACCTAGCTGAGAAAAATAAAAAATAAACGGAACTTCAGCCCAAACGCGTTGGGAGTGAATGAAGCTGAAACAAAAGCTACGTGCAGTGGTGGTGGCAGTGTCAAGCCGGTGTAGTGAGATGAAAGTGACCACGTTGGTAAATTTATTGCGATTTTGTTTTGGACATTTCGGTGGTCATTGCTTCAGCCACTGGCACGACGGGTCAGTGCTGGTGCTCTGATCATGCAATATTTTTGCGGCTATACGACGTGGATCTTTTGAATGGTTGAGATGCTGACGATGACGGAGAAGAAAGTGCTCTTGCTGATCCGTGATGGATGAGGATATCCGAGCATCTTATCGTTTCTATCTGAAGTAGTGTTTTCATTTTTTGAGGTATGAGCAAATTTAGTGGTTGGATCTTGTTGTTTTAAATAGATAAAGTTTGAGCGTAAACTGTAAGTAGACTTACTGAATATTGATTTTTTTTTGGCAAATATGTTTTGAGCGCGCATTATTAAAACCAACCAACGAATAGTTTTAGATCATAAATTAGATGACCGGTTTAAAACACTTAAAAAGGTAAATATAAACATTTTTAGTGAAAAACAGTAAGCGTATTCCTGAAATTACAGCATTTAATAAAAACTGATTTCTTGACCAAGCTAAATAGGGGAAATGACGGCTTCGGCATGACAGACTATTTTCGGCAACCCAAATTGAAACACTATTTTCACTGGATTTTCTTACGAAAACACTTCGCTGAATGCATGCAAACGATTCTTTATGCTTTCAGCTTCAATTTGACTATATTTTTACCACTGAGAAAAAGCAATCTAGCAAGGTTTTCTTGAAATGAAACACACGCACTACAAATTGTAGCTGATTTCGAGTTGCCGATAATAGAACAGCAGATTTACATGCAGTTCAAATGGAACGGTTGCCGAAGAAAAACTGGTTGCCGACAATACTCGCTCTCACTAGAGAAGATTGGAGCTTTGTAAAAGCGTTTCAAAACAGTTTTTGACAATTCTTTCGACTGAAATTGTTAGAGCAGCTGGCAGCAATAGATTGTAAACAAACCAATACTGCATATGTGTGCGTTCCTTAGAGAAAAAGGCTATAGAAAGAAGGTCGCTGCTTAGGTTGCCGAGAATGCGTAAATTCCCCTACAACACGAGCAGCTTTAACACTTTCAGTCGGGTTTGCACTCGTTCATTTTTTCGGCTGTTTCGCACTATGCTGCTGTCCGTTCAGAGTCAACGTGCAGAATTACTTGCTTGTAAGAATTAAAGATAAGCACACCAACAAGGAAAGCATTCCCGGGATATGTGTAGAACTATCAATAAAGAAAGTTGGAAGGAACCTCCAGAGGACTCTTTCGGGAGATAATCATCCAGCAAAAGTTCGAACAAATTTCTGAGCTATTTGTTTGCTATATAATGAACTAACTATTAAAAAAATAGTAATTCTTTTTTTTAAACTCTTTATCAAGGAAATTTTTAGCGTATTGCTAGTTCATCTCCGGAGAAAGGAGAGCCCTCAGAGTGAGTAACTTTTAATTACATGGTATATTAGCATTTTAACACTTGTACCAATGGCCTGCGGTTTATAATAAAAAAATAGCAAAAAAAATTTTTTTCACTTTAAGACTAAGCAAAACAAATTACGGATACATCCGCCCACTATTTATAAGTAACCAAAAGATAGCTAGAAAAGTTAGCTTTTAGATAGGCTTTAATGTGTTTTGCGATTTTTTACGAAAGATGTTGAAATTAGGTATGTATAACACGTAAAGTGTTCTTTGGAAAATACCCGTTTCTAAGTTATATAATCTGCGGTGTATACTGTAGCAAGCTTCACAATGCCTTTTTTAAAGCACACCACATACACGTACCATAACCTGCTTGTTTAAAAAAAAAATCATAACTCATGAACCATAAGAGATAAAACGTTGTGTCTTCAACAAAGTTGCTTTGAATTGATTGTTCTACAACTGTTTACAACACTGCTTTGGTCTATCTCAAATAACAAAAATGTATGTATTTTAATGCACCTATTTTCTGGACCACCCTAATTTTACGAACATAAAAAGATTGAACAAAAATATGAAGGAACTTTCCCTAAGAAACCATATAACTAAAACTGACGGTTTGGGCGCAAACATTTTTGTCTTCCAAAATACAGCTTTAGGACCATTGTGCATTGGTTTTGGTTCTACTATTCTTCTTTTTGTGACGTCTTGATTGTCAAGTTTTCTTTGTGCAGCTAAAAACATATATGTCAACTGTTTTTTTTTTACATATTTGCAACAATTTTTAAGTTTTGGCCAACTTTTGTTCTAAGGAGAACCACTGTGCTTCCGGTAGCCGTATAAAGCCGTTTGATGTCTGCCTTGACGTAGGTTTCTTCGTCCATTACCACGCAATCAAACTTCGTCAGCCTCATCATTTAGGTACAGCTTCCGGGATCGTGTTCTGGTTGTCTTGTTTTGTTTATTGTCGCGATTTGGAGTCACTACCTTCTTAAGAGTCGACAGTCCGGCTCGTTTTAAGCTCGATGTACAGTTGTAGACGACACTCCCAGTTTGCGAGATCTCGGACGGAGAGGCTGGGGATCCGCTGAGGATCAACTCCTCGATCGAGGCTCCCTGGCTATCGACAAACGTTTCCCGAACACTTTTATTACGTTGGTGACAGTTGATTTGGCCACTTTTAACGATTTCGCCAACTGGACGTGCGATTAGTTCGGATTTTTGCGATGCGCGTGCAATATTTTGATGCGTTTTTCCTCTTGCTTCGGATAACTGAAGAGCAAATGTCAAAACCAAAATGCACGCACACAGCTACAAAATGAGGAGTATTCAGGTTTTTAAAATACTGGATTAAAATAAATGCGTTGATTTCGACCAAATTTTGATCGTAACACCCTTTATTCTTGAAATAACGCAGGCAACTTATTCCGGTTGGATTTAAGCAGGAATCATAATTCTCTCCGCTGTATTGTAATCTGCCTCGGTCCAGTCTTTTACACTACTTTCGGTTCCTGGTGCTCTGAATGAGTTCATTATTCTTTTGTGGAAATGGTCTTCTTCTTCACCTTCGCACTTCAAGCAAATTGTTTATCGCATATTAGCTTATTGCTGCCTCTCAACTTAGTGTTGTATTTAGGTGCACTTTCACAGTAATTGTGTGGCAAGTACAATCTTACTCTATGCCCAGGGAATGCGAACAATTTTCCAGCCCGAAAAATTTCTAGACCGGACCAGGAATTGAACCTAGCTACCTCCATTATGGTCTTGCTTTTTAGTTGCCCTTTTTCCAACTGAGCTAAGGGAAGCCCCAGTGGAAATGGTCCGTTCCTTTTTCCATGACTTGTGTGTTTGTTTTGTGGTAAAATTGCATAGAACCAGCAAGCAAGCAAGCAAGCAAGCAATAAAGCTTAATCTAGAAAATACATAAAAAAAACTGGTTTTATGTTATGCTTTGAAAAGCTAATCTAGGAGGATGTATCCTATTCAGGGGTATGTTGAGGCTGTCAAATCCAATATATAATGAATCTACTTCATACTGATTTTGGTATTAACTTTCTGGTTGGTTTACCCCAAAACTGGTGCAATTCACGGAGACGAACAAGCGTTTGGCTGAAAGTCTCCTTAATAACTAACGAACTGGTGCAATTGGGCAAAGGGCTCATTGAGATCAATGAACTAGTTTTGTAATTTCGATATGAAAATCAATATGTTTCAATATGTTTTCAATGCTTTTTCAAGGCATGAGTGCAATAAACAGATAAGTTGGATGCCTTAAACATTCTCTCCTGGTGTTTTTCGATGGTCGAAAAAATCTAAACAAAAGCATTGAAAGCCATATTGAATATATGATGCATAGGAAAAATACTGTCTTTGGATCCCCCTGGTCCTATTAAGGTTTTTAAGGAGCAGTATGTTATTGCCGATTGCAGTAGAACAATGCATGAACTGAGATAGCAATTTTTGAAGAACGCCTAAAGATCTTACAACTAATGTTGCAATTTGCAGTGATCGAAATTTTTTGGAATATTTTAAATAAGATTGCCCAAAAATAAGTAAAATCCATCACATTTTACCAGCACGCAGTTTAGTAAATTATCAAAGATAAATACGGGAAAACTCATCGAATATCATTGTGAAAACTTCTATGTTCTATTATTGCAATTATTATATTCATATTAATTCCGCAAATTCGGCATCACTGCATATGAACACAACAGTTGACTTGACAAACTTTTTTTTTTATTATAGTGACTTTAACACTCTTGGGTCATTCGTGACTTGTCCGGGGGTGAGATTTGAACTCGTGACTGAAAGAGACTAGACAATTTGATGAGACACAATCTGTTGAAAACAATAGCGGGCACTGATCTTCCAGCAGGGCAAATAAAACGCAAAGTTTCAATATTTTCCACATGCTACAAAGCTGTAATATTATAAATAATTAAAATACAATGTATTACAGTACTTACAACTTCGGTGTTTTCTCGCATTGGAATAGCGAACAGAGCGATTTGCTCTTGCAATGCGCCCGTGCCGTCGCTTGCTTTAACTGATCTATTGTGACTGTGATCATTGACAGCACGGGCATGTTGGAGAAAACCCCGAGGAACGACAAACAAACAATATCACACATTTCTTCGAGGGGTTCGTCGAGTGGTTGCATACGCAACACAATTCGTATTGGAGCGAAAGAGTAAGGGACAGTCTGAAATTTTTCAAACACAGAATGTCATAGTTGAAGATGCTTATTTTAAAT